GGTGCGATGGATGCGGCCGCGCCCGCTGACGCACCCTCTCCTCCCGCCCCGCAGGCTCGCCGTTCCTGCCGGCCATGGGTGGTCCGGTGATGCCGTCCGCCAACGATACGCTGATGACGCTCTGGAGCCTCTACAACCGCCAGCAGCAGCAACAACAACAGCAGCAGCAGCAGCAGCAGCAGCAGCAGCAGCAGCAGCACCGTGTTCACTCTCCTCCTCAGCACCGGAAGCCGGAGGTTCTTACACACCGGAAACTGGAGAGCGCCAGCCCCGCGCCACAGAGCGAGGCGCTCAACCTGGGCGTCCGAGACACAGCCAGGTACGGGCAAAAGCAACTCGGTATAAACTTTACGTGTAACTCAAAATCTCTTACACAATAATGTTTTTTTCTAAGGCATGTGAACTGTAAAGATTATTGAATGCATATCGAGTAACTAGCACGAGTCGGACTTATTTGTTTGGGATTAATTAATAAATAAATGCTAAAAGTACCTATTATTCTTGTAAAACATTTTCACTATGATTAAACGTAACACAGCTACAGCAATGAAGAATAACAACACACAAACACCATCCGCCAGGGACGAGATGGACCGTCAGATGAGCCGTCACCGGGCCCGAGATATGGCTCACGACAACCACCTGAACATGGACAAGGAGCACGACTGGGACAGGCACCTGCCCATCAAACGGGAGAGCCAAGAGGCCGTGTCGCCGCCACCGCTGCACAAGAGGCCTCGGCTGCCGGAGCCCGAGCGGCAGACCGCCGCCTTCCCGCACACCAAGATGAGCATCTCCACTAAAGGTGAGTGTTGGCCGGAACTAAGCATAATTGGTTTTGTTTTATTTTATACATTCTGAAGTTATCATTAGCAGATTGTAATTGGAAGGCTAAAGTTCAATTTAAAATAACGGAATATGCACTTTGAAAATTGCTTAGTTAATTGCTTACTTTTCATTGCTTCAGTCTAAGAAAAGCCATGGATGGCATGGCAGCAGTTTAGAATAAGTGTCATCCATATGTGTTGCATATTTTAAATGCAAATTGTATATAAATGCAAAAGGAAAGTTGGCTCATTTCAGCATATCTTTTATCATGGAACATTATTCTATCTATATTACCAGTAAAACGCCTTTTGGGCGAAGAACGAGCGAGCGAGATAGTGAGCCCTGCACGTGCGGAAGGGTGAGAGGGTGCTTCCAACGGGCTTGTGCAAAGCACCCTTCTAACCGGTCGCTAGCGGTGTGCCAAATTTGAACGCAATCGGCCCAGCCGTTCCTGAGATCTGGAAGCGGCATTCTGCACGTGCGCACGTGCAAACAGGGTCCAGAATGACTTTTGCACGGCACCCTACTAACTGGTCCCCAACCGTGTACCAAATTTGAGCTCAATCGGCCCAGCCGTTCTCGAGATCTGGAAACGCCCCCTGCACGTGCGCACGTGCAGTAGCACCCTAACCGCAACACATGGGAATGCATTGCCTGGTGGGTGCCTACCTGTATGCCAAGTTTCAGCGAAATCGCCCCAGGAATTACCGAGTTATTGAAATGGGAACAAATTTGGCACCTCTTATTGTTGTATTTTGCACACGGGTGGAGAATTGTGCTGGACTGGGGGTGCTCGAGCTCTCCCAATTCCACGCCGGCCACGCCGGCTTGGCTTTGGAGCCGCGGCCGGGCGGCGCGGGTCAAGGTCACCGCTAGGCGGCGGCGGATTTGCTGCGCCCGAGCACCCCCAGCTGGTCACAATTCTCCACCTATGATTTTGCACGTGCACTGGGGGTGACCCACATACATCGAGAGTATCCTATTTTGGGTAGAAGGGATGCTGCAACCCTACAAAAATTACCGCAAGTCAATCGCCCAAGCGGCTGCTGAGATATGAGCCTCTCAAAATCACTACTTTTGCAAAACAGCTTGAACACCCTTGACTTTTCACGTGGCACGTGCCACGACGGTCACTGAGATGTATCAAAAGTAGTCAATTACGGGGTAGAAGGGATGGGGCTACCCAACAAAAAAGACCGCAGGCCAATCGGTCCAGCGGTTGCTGAGATATAAGCCTCTCAAAAGCGTTACAGGCCGGGCCGGGCCGGGCCGGGCCGGGCCGGGCCGCTCATACTGAGATTTTTCCGTTATATTGAAAAGACTCACTTCGCTCGCTGCGCTCGCTCGCTCGTAATAAAACACTCTTGGACAAAGCCCTTTTGGTCTCTTGCAGGCGACAGCAGCATAGTTGTGAGCATGGAGCTGAACGGCGTCGGCTACCAGGGAGTGCTGTTCGCCCAGCCGCGGACTGCCAGTGTGTAGCCTCACACGGAAGCAGCGCCATCTAGAGCTTACCGACACAAATATTAGTGCGCCGGTCACCACCAGGTGTCGCTAGGCGCTAACAGTAGAGGAGAATGAAGATCTCATAAGAAGTGGTGGCCGCGGTGGCTGAATGAACGAGACCGTGCGTGGAGACAACTGTGGGCTGTTTGGCCTCGATCCAGAGAGAACCGTTGTTGAGGGCTTGGAGGGTCCGTTTTTCCCGCCAAAGTTATTCGGGCGTGTTTAATTTTAAGTGGGAATCCTTGTGGTTTGTGTTGGTGTTTCAAATGAGTTGTCTTGTTATGCATCGGCTGAGTTTCATCTCTATGTAGATACCACGACCGAAACAAGAGCATCCTTTTTACTCAGGGATTGAATAGCAGCCCTGACATGCGTGGTTTATGGCATAGGATAGAGGTTATGAATTTGTTCGAGATGAAAGATATGCATTGGATGGTTTTAATCGATGGGCTTTGAATTGGTTGACCTTGGGCAATGCGGCTGCTCGCAATGAGGTCAATTTCTCAAGTACCAGTTGCTTGTATGTATGTTTCAGTCAAAATCAATCAAATTTTCTGTATTATTTCATGGTATCCATGAATTATCCATTGTGATGAATGCTACTTAGTGTAACTCCTGATCTTCCAAATACCTTCCCCACATCTTTTGACGTTATCACATACCACCACATACTCGAGTGCTAAAAATGCCCATTCCAAGCCTCTTTTCCTGTTTCCTCCCGTAGCTAATGACAATCATTAGTCACTACAATTATCCTGTAAGTTGTTTGAAAACGAACAATGTCCTGTTGTAAGCCCTAGAAATCAACGCTCCATGCGATATGGAACTGTTTTTGTGGAGGTTTTTGTGATTGGTGTTCCCTGTAAAGCCCGGATATAATATACATGTTGTCACGGAACTCAACACCAAAACTCAGCTCGGATTCTTGCAGGCCGTTTATATCGTAATGGACAAAACTGAAACATCACAACTCCAATGTCCACCGGCCAGAACCCTCAAACCAGCAAAATCACGGCACACCGCCGCCATCAACACACAACAACCACACATCAGACACAATTCCCGAACTTTCGGGCCGCCGCTCGCCCCCGGCTGCCGGTCAGCTGACCGCCGGAGGCGACCAATCAGACGCCAGGCGCCGTCTCTCGGCAGCACCGACTTGGCCGAACGGTCAGCACCGATCGAGGCGACCTCTATTATCCGGCATTGCCAAAAATTCCCGAAAGAGGCGCTACTAATCCGTAACATAACTCCCCACCTTGACCCTCAGGTCAACACAAAACAGCTTCGTAACACTAGCAAACAGGTTTGATCAGCCATCACTAGGGCAATCAGCGATAAATCTAACATGAGTGAGGCACAGCGACAATGGAACACATTCCCAGTCAGCGCCACCACACAACCTATAAGCTATACGATTACAAACGCAAACAAATCAGCTCGATCAATCGTAAAACAAATCGCGCAGCACGACGTGCGTCAGCACAACGTCCCCTTTCGACTCAGTGACGTACCAGACCATAAAGGGCACACTGGATCCGGCTCTCAGGAACACAAGGATCCGAATCACTCCTGAGCTCGCGTAGGATCCTGGGAGGATAGAGAGGGAACGACCTCCAGGTCGTATAGCCGCTGCACAGCGCGCGTCCTCAGTCCTTTCTCTGTACTTACCTCCACTGACCTAGTCTTCCCATCTCGCCCAGGGAGCAGTCTCGTGACCCTGCCCATGACCCACTTCTGCCGGGGAACATGGTCCTCCTCCAGCAGCACTACTGACCCCTCTGTCAACTTACCGTGAGAACGGAACTGGCGCACAGTGGGTGGAAGACTACGCAAATATTCCTTCCGCCAAACCTGCCAAAATCTGTTCAGACGCCGTTCTCTGATCCGCGCCCTCTCCTGGAGCGCGCTGCCGTCAACCGACCGGGCACTCTCAACCCGGCTCTGGAAGCCCGCGCCTCGGCCGATTAAGAAATGACTCGGGGTGAGCGCGTCTGGGCCCTCCGGGTCGTCTGTGACGGCCGTGAGCGGCCGTGAGTTGACACATGCCTCTATCTCAGACAGCATGGTCTCCAACTCAGTCCGAGTCACACAGCGGGTCCCCAGGGACTTCCTGAGACCCACCTTGACAGAGCGAATGAGCCGCTCGTAGAAACCACCGTGCCACGGCGCCACCGGCGTCGTGAAGCTCCACTCCGGAGCTTTGTCTCCGAAATACCTCCGCAGGGACACGTCTGCGGCCTTGAAATATCTCGCATTATCAGAAATAACACGAGACGGAAAGCCACGTCTGGCAGCGAACCGTCGGAATGCTAACAAAATGTCTGCCTGCGACAGAGACTCCGTCAGCTCGAGATGCACCGCACGCACCTGCGCACACGTGAACAGAGCCACATAGAACTTCTTGTTCGGAAAATCAACACAGAACAGAGGTCCGGCCATATCCACACCGACGGTCGAAAAACAAGGAGACTCGCTGACACGAGCAGCGGGGAGCGGCGCCGCCGGCTCGTTACACGCACGTGCGTCATGTCTCCGACAGGCGACACACTGGCGCTTCACACGCTTCGCCAAACACCTCAGCCCCACGATCCAGAACCGTTCGCGCAGAGCGGTGATCATCGTCGAAACACCGGCGTGTCTCATCAACAGGTGCTGTTCTCTGACTAACAGTTCTGAAAGGCGACACTTCGGCAAGATCACAGGGTGCTTCTCAGCATACGACAGATCTGAGAGCTGTAACCTGCCAGTCATACGGACCAAACCGTCACTGTCGATGAAGGGAGTCAGCTTAGTGAGGCTCGAGCCCCGCGGAAGGGCCTTCCCGGCATGCAGCAGCCTGATCTCGTCAGAAAAGACGTCACCCTGTACGTCTCTGATCAGAGCGCGCCGTGCCTCGTCCAACTCACCAGTTGTGAGCTCACCATCTCTCCTCTCAGAGGGGTTCCGAGCGTTGTGCACAAACCGGCGCACCCAACCAGCGATGCGCACGGCCTTACACATAGACCCCCACCTCTCCACTGGGAACACAGGCTCATGCTTCGTCACACTCGGTGACGTCAGAGCTGCCGTCGGTGACGTCAGAGCTGCCGACTCCTCCTCAGTCTCATCTGCGCTCTGCTGAGCCGCAGAGCCGTCTGAGTCACCCGACCTGAGCCAAACAGGGCCCCTCAGCCAAACATCCGACTCCAGGAGGGACTCGGCGGACACACCGCGCGTGAGCAGGTCTGCAGGGTTGAGCTCACCGCTGCAGTGTCCCCAGTCAGACGGGCTCGTGAGAGACTGAATCTCTCTCACCCTGTTCGACACGAACTGTTTCCATCTCGCTGGGTCCGCCTGTACCCAGCCGAGGACAATTCTGCTGTCAGTCCAGCAGAGCGAGGGCGTGGTCTCCGGCAGCTGCAGTGCCCGCCGGACGAACACCACCAGCCTGGCCGCCAGCAGGCTGCCCAACAGCTCCAAACGAGGCAGAGTGTGAGCGGCGATCGGCGCCACACGTGCCTTCGCCATGACCAGACACACGTCACGAGAGCCATCCTCACGAGGGGCACACACATAGACCACCGCCCCGTATCCCTTTGGCGAGGCGTCACCAAAGGCGTGAAGGCTCACACCCTCCCCACCGTTCCAACCTGAGCTGAAGTAGCTCCGAGGAATCTCCATCTGCTTCAGGACCTCCAGTCCTCTCACCCAGTCAGAAAACACGTCACAGAGCTCAGGAGGCAGGATCTCGTCCCAGCCCAGACCGATCCGCCACAGGTCCTGAAACAGACATTTTGCCACCATTGTGTGAGGAGCCAGCCACTGCATCGGATCAAACAACCTCGCGATCAGACTCAACAAGACTCGCTTGGTGGGCACCACATTGTCAGGCATGCTGACACCCTCAAACACGAACACGTCCCTATCAGGTAGCCATCTCAGTCCGAGAACCTTCACGCTCTCGTCCTCAGGACTGCCGGCCAGCGCGTGAGTTCGATCGAGTACGAGCTCACTGTTGGAAGTGCACTTCGTGAGCTCCATCCCAGCGTCACTGAGGATAGACTGGGCCTCGGTAAGCAGCTCACGAGCACCCTGCTCGGTATCACACCCAGACACAAAGTCATCCATGTACAGAGAAGTCTGGAGCTCTCGGACAGCGCGAGAGGGTGGATACTTATCCAGATGGTACTGGATGGTCGCGATCAGCAAGAACGGCGAGCACGCCGCTCCGAAAATGACTCGCTGAAACCGCATGGTCCGAAGACGACCGTCCAGCTCCCACAGAAAGCGGAGAACGTCCTGATCTGATCTCCTCACCCGGATCTGCAGGAAAGCTTTCCGGATATCACCGGTGACCGCGAATCTCCACCGGCGGAACCTCAACAACACCTCACACAGGTTGGGAATCAGATTCGGACCAACCTCGAGACAATCATTGAGCGAAAGACCGTGCCTGTCAGTCGCCGACGCGTCAAACACCGGACGCACGCGCGTGGAGGTGCTACTTTCCTTCACTACCGGCCTGTGCGGTAGGTAGAAAGTGGGATTCTCTGACACGAGCTCCTCTCGTGGCACCTCTGCGATCACCCCATTCGCCTCCATCTCCTTCAGAGCCTGATCATACTCCTCACCCAGCTTGGAGTCCTTTCCAAGCTTCCTCGAGAGACCAGCCAGTCGTACCTCAGCAGCCTGCCTATTGTCGACTAGCTCACCAGGGTCTCTCTTCCACGGCAGAGCCACCTCATACCGCCCATCGTCCATTCGAATGGAATCGCGAAACTTAGCCTGAACCTCAGCCGAAGAATCAGCATCACTCGAATCATGGATCCCTATCCCTTCTAGATCCCAGAACTGGCGGAGACGGCTCTCATGCAGGTCTCCCAGACAGAGCAGTTGACACCCCAGCTGTGGGCCCCTCTGTCCCTCACAGTCACCCACCAGGCCGGACACCATCCAGCCGAGCACTGTCTCCTGAGCTACAGGGCCCCCCTGGGTGCAGTGCACCGCTGGCCTTACCATACTCCAGTAGTAGTCCATACCGACGAGGATGTGCACGTGCAGCGGCTCATCGGGAGGAGGGCGGCCAGCCATCGGGAGGTGAGACAGCTCCGCCATCACAGAGGCAGGCAGGCTGGGCCGGGACAGGGGCGCACAGATCACAGGAACCTCGATGGCCTGCATCGTCACTGAGGAAGGTACATCAGCATTAGCACTCGACAGCGACAGCTCGAACACATCACGATCAACAACACCAGAGCTCCTCCCTCCAAACGCAGCATAGGCCACACTTTCTGATCTGACCCACTTTGGGCTCACCTGCTTCACCACATCAGCTGAAACATAGCTCCTATCCGAGGCAGAGTCAAACAATACATTTACTGAGAGCTCCTGACCACGCTTGTCTTTCACTAGGGCTCTCACAAGTGGCAGTGCAGTGACTGCACCGTCACTACCACAAGGTAACACTGCATCTGTCGGCACACTAGCACTAACTGCAGTCATAGCTGGGCTGGCCTGCTGCTCAGCCCGCTGAGGTGGGACACTGTTCGATCCACGTACCAGCCTGGAGCAGCACACCGCATGGTGCCTGCCACCACACTCTGAGCAGTTCATCCTACATCTGTTGGCCCTGTGTCCGAGCTGAAGGCAGCGGAAGCACAGGCCTGCTTGACGCACTCTGTCAAGCCGCTGAGGCACATTTAGAGGCACAAGAGACGGGCACTGGTCTGACCTGTGGGCCTGGGCACAAAAGCCACAGACCGCCGTTGAAGTCGAGAGTGCTGCTGCTGCTGCAGGGGCGCGCTGCCCCCTGCTCCTCTGCTGGCGGGTCCCAACGGGGCTGCGCCGGGACTCCGGAGCTGATGCAGCAGAGTACGCACCGGAGCGCTCACGCCGGCCGATCTCAGAGTCCAAAAACTGCAGCAACCAGTTCAGGTCCGCCTCATGACCCACACCATCCCTCGCCCACTCCATCCTGATGGCAGTCGGCAGTCGTTGTAAGAGCACAGGCACCATCATCACGCCATACGCTTCACCCTGCACTCCCAACGCTTCCAAAGCTCTCACATGCGACAAAAGGTTGTCCTGTAGGGCACGAAGGGCATGGACATCAGGAATGGAAGGAGCAGGAATAGAAAGGAGTTGCTGGATATGGTTGAAGATGATACGTTCCGTCCTACCAAAACGATCAGTAAGGATCTTACATGCGGATGCATAGTTAGGGGCACTCAGTGGCAACCCAGCAATACATGTGCTAGCCTCCCCCACTAGCAGTGATCTCAGATACGAGAACTTTGTTATGTCAGGCAAGTCACTGTCATGTACGGACGCTCTGAACATCTCCCAAAAGGCTTGCCACTCAAGCACATTACCCCCAAACTTGGGCAAGTCCAGTTTAGGCAGCTTTACAGTGTGGCTACTCACAGAGATGCCGCCCGATGCAGAGTCAGTCCCTGAACCACTCACAGCTTTCACCACATTGGAGAGCACGCCAAGTACAGAGTCACGAAACACGCCAGCCTTCTCAATGTCATCCAGCATCTCACTCTCAGACTCGATCATCAGCTCCAAGTCACTCTGTAGTCCATCCAGGTTGTTCAGCCGTGTCTCCAGCTCCTTCTGGATCACTCTCAGGGCCTCCTGATCACACTGATCCGCATCCAGGAGTTCTTGAGCCTTGTTCATGGTTCTTGAAAGCCACCCCTTGGCAGCCACTCGTTTCTTGTACATCATGGACAAGTCTGGGACCAACGCCATGGCTTAGGCGTAAAAACAGCAAGAATTAAAGCAAATGGTCCACAGTAATTCACCAAGGTCAATCACCATCAGCCTGGTGCAAAACAAAGCAAGCTCACAGCACCCCATCTCAATTGCAATTGGCTGTCACCGGCTTGCACTCACTGCACATCCAAAGGCTCCGTCCCGGGTTTCGGCACCAAAATGTCACGGAACTCAACACCAAAACTCAGCTCGGATTCTTGCAGGCCGTTTATATCGTAATGGACAAAACTGAAACATCACAACTCCAATGTCCACCGGCCAGAACCCTCAAACCAGCAAAATCACGGCACACCGCCGCCATCAACACACAACAACCACACATCAGACACAATTCCCGAACTTTCGGGCCGCCGCTCGCCCCCGGCTGCCGGTCAGCTGACCGCCGGAGGCGACCAATCAGACGCCAGGCGCCGTCTCTCGGCAGCACCGACTTGGCCGAACGGTCAGCACCGATCGAGGCGACCTCTATTATCCGGCATTGCCAAAAATTCCCGAAAGAGGCGCTACTAATCCGTAACACATGTGTTTTCATTGAAATGTGTCTGTATTTTATCCATGACCTATTCGCTGTCCGAGTCTTCACCTGAAAAAAATACGTGATACAGCACCTGCAAGCAGACTTAAGCCAAGATCCCAAAAAGATCCGAGATCCAGGATCTGCAAGATCCAAGATCCGGGATCTTGAGAGATCTTGGATCCAGCACTTCAGGTTTTGCCGAGGGATCTTGGGGATCCAGGACTCTGGTCATTTTGTGGAGGGATCCTGGGGATCTCGGATCCTGGCTTTTGATTTTGTCGAGGGATCTTGGGGATCTTGGATCTTAGTTTTTGATTTGTCGAGGGATCCTGGGGATCTTGGATCCTGTGTTTTAACAGGAATATTTTAAACATGAGTCATGATTAAATGCCTACTAAACCTATCTATTGCTAGCAAATTCAAATCTCCTGAGGATGAATATCTAGCAAGGAAAACCAATGTGCAAAACATTAGCAAGTACAACTGTTAAACTCCCTTTATACTGGAAGGAGGACATACTCTAGGTAATAACTAAGGTGCTCAAGGCTTCAAAGTATACCTATATCAGCATAAACAAAGCTTAGACTTTGTGGGCCGTACTATTAACTGGATTATTTGCCAGCTGACTTCGTATGGTGGCGCTAGCAAAGCTATATATCAATGATAGATATAAAAATTGTTCGGTATCAGTTTGGCATTGGTTTCGAAAAATTTCTTAAATTTACATCGCAAAAATGTAGGTACATAAAACATTTCTGAGATTTACAACGTCTGTCAAGACAGCCTCAGATTCAGATTCACTTTCAGAATCACATTCGGACCCCCTTAGATTTTCATAAAAACTGGTCCATGGGTACAGTTTTGGACGCTGATTCCAATGGTGAAGTCTGTTTTTCGCCACATATTATACTTTGGCCCCTAGAGGCATTCAAAGTTTTTTTTGGGCGAAGGGGGACCCCCTTAGATTTTCATAAAAACTGGTCCATGTGTACAGTTTTGGACGCTGATTCCAACGGTGAAGTCTGTTTTTCGCCACATATTATACTTTGGCCCCTAGAGGCATTCAAAGTTTTTTTGGGGAAGGGGGACCCCCTTAGATTTTCATAAAAACTGGTCCATGTGTACAGTTTTGGACGCTGATTCCCATGGTGAAGTCTGTTTTTCGCCACATATTATACTTTGCCCCTAGAGGCATTCAGATTCACTTTCAGAATCACATTCGGACCCCCTTAGTTTTTCATAAAAACTGGTCCATGGGTACAGTTTTGGACGCTGATTCCAATGGTGAAGTCTGTTTTTCGCCACATATTGTACTTTGGCCCCTAGAGGCATTAAAAGTTTTTTTGGGGGAAGGGGGACCCCCTTAGATTTTCATAAAAACTGGTCCATGGGTACAGTTTTGGACGCTGATTCCAATGGTGAAGTCTGTTTTTCGCCACATATTATACTTTGGCCCCTAGAGGCATTCAAAGTTTTTTTGGGGCGAAGGGGGACCCCCTTAGATTTTCATTAAAACTGGTCCATGTGTACAGTTTTGGACGCTGATTCCAACGGTGAAGTCTGTTTTCCGCCACATATTATACTTTGGCCCCTAGAGGCATTCAAAGTTTTTTTGGGGGAAGGGGGACCCCCTTAGATTTTCATAAAAACTGGTCCATGGGTACAGTTTTGGACGCTGATTCCAATGGTAAAGTCTGTTTTTCGCCACATATTTTACTTTGGCCCCTAGAGGCATTCAAAGTTTTTTTGGGCGAAGGGGGACCCCCTTAGATTTTCATAAAAACTGGTCCATGTGTACAGTTTTGGACGCTGATTCCAACGGTGAAGTCTGTTTTTCGCCACATATTATACTTTGGCCCCTAGAGGCATTCAAAGTTTTTTGGGGAAGGGGGACCCCCTTAGATTTTCATAAAAACTGGTCCATGTGTACAGTTTTGGACGCTGACTCCCATGGTGAAGTCTGTTTTTCGCCACATATTATACTTTGCCCCTAGAGGCATTCAGATTCACTTTCAGAATCACATTCGGACCCCCTTAGATTTTCATAAAAACTGGTCCATGTGTACAGTTTCGGACGCTGATTCCAATGGTGAAGTCTGTTTTTCGCCACATATTATACTTTGGCCCCTAGAGGCATTCAAAGTTTTTTGGGGGGAAGGGGGACCCCCTTATATTTTCATAAAAACTGGTCCATGGGTACAGTTTTGGACGCTGATTCCAATGGTGAAGTCTGTTTTTCGCCACATATTATACTTTGGCCCCTAGAGGCATTCAAAGTTTTTTTTTTTGGGCGAAGGGGGACCCCCTTAGATTTTCATAAAAACTGGTCCATGTGTACAGTTTTGGACGCTGATTCCAACGGTGAAGTCTGTTTTTCGCCACATATTATACTTTGGCCCCTAGAGGCATTCAAAGTTTTTTTGGGGAAGGGGGACCCCCTTAGATTTTCATAAAAACTGGTCCATGTGTACAGTTTTGGACGCTGATTCCCATGGTGAAGTCTGTTTTTCGCCACATATTATACTTTGCCCCTAGAGGCATTCAGATTCACTTTCAGAATCACATTCGGACCCCCTTAGTTTTTCATAAAAACTGGTCCATGGGTACAGTTTTGGACGCTGATTCCAATGGTGAAGTCTGTTTTTCGCCACATATTATACTTTGGCCCCTAGAGGCATTCAAAGTTTTTTTGGGGCGAAGGGGGACCCCCTTAGATTTTCATTAAAACTGGTCCATGTGTACAGTTTCGGACGCTGATTCCAATGGTGAAGTCTGTTTTTCGCCACATATTATACTTTGGCCCCTAGAGGCATTCAAAGTTGTTTTGGGGGGAAGGGGGACCCCCTTAGATTTTCATAAAAACTGGTCCATGGGTACAGTTTTGGACGCTGATTCCAATGGTGAAGTCTGTTTTTCGCCACATTGGCCCCTAGAGGCATTCAAAGTTTTTTTTTTGGGCGAAGGGGGACCCCCTTAGATTTTCATAAAAACTGGTCCATGTGTACAGTTTTGGACGCTGATTCCAACGGTGAAGTCTGTTTTTCGCCACATATTATACTTTGGCCCCTAGAGGCATTCAAAGTTTTTTTGGGGAAGGGGGACCCCCTTAGATTTTCATAAAAACTGGTCCATGTGTACAGTTTTGGACGCTGATTCCCATGGTGAAGTCTGTTTTTCGCCACATATTATACTTTGCCCCTAGAGGCATTCAGATTCACTTTCAGAATCACATTCGGACCCCCTTAGTTTTTCATAAAAACTGGTCCATGGGTACAGTTTTGGACGCTGATTCCAATGGTGAAGTCTGTTTTTCGCCACATATTATACTTTGGCCCCTAGAGGCATTAAAAGTTTTTTTGGGGGAAGGGGGACCCCCTTAGATTTTCATAAAAACTGGTCCATGGGTACAGTTTTGGACGCTGATTCCAATGGTGAAGTCTGTTTTTCGCCACATATTATACTTTAGCCCCTAGAGGCATTCAAAGTTTTTTTTGGGGAAGGGGGACCCCCTTAGATTTTCATAAAAACTGGTCCATGGGTACAGTTTCGGACGCTGATTCCAATGTAGAAGTCTGTTTTTCGCCACATATTATACTTTGGCCCCTAGAGGCATTCAAAGTTTTTTTGGGGGGAAGGGGGACCCCCTTAGATTTTCATAAAAACTGGTCCATGTGTACAGTTTCGGACGCTGATTCCAATGGTCAAGTCTGTTTTTCGCCACATATTATACTTTGGCCCCTAGAGGCATTAAAAGTTTTTTTGGGGAAGGGGGACCCCCTTAGATTTTCATAAAAACTGGTCCATGGGTACAGTTTTGGACGCTGATTCCAATGGTGAAGTCTGTTTTTCGCCACATATTATACTTTGGCCCCTAGAGGCATTCAAAGTTTTTTGGGGGAAGGGGGACCCCCTTAGATTTTCATAAAAACTGGTCCATGTGTACAGTTTCGGACGCTGATTCCAATGACGAAGTCTGTTTTTCGCCACATATTATACTTTGGCCCCTAGAGGCATTCAAAGTTCTTTTGGGGAAGGGGGACCCCCTTAGATTTTCATAAAAACTGGTCCATGTGTACAGTTTTAGACGCTGATTCCAATGTTGAAGTCTGTTCTTCGCCACATATTATACTTTGGCCCCTAGAGGCATTCAAAGTTTTTTTGGGCGAAGGGGGACCCCCTTAGATTTTCATAAAAACTGGTCCATGTGTACAGTTTTAGACGCTGATTCCAATGGTGAAGTCTGTTTTTCGCCACATATTATACTTTGGCCCCTAGAGGCATTCAAAGTTTTTTTGGGGGAAGGGGGACCCCCTTAGATTTTCATAAAAACTGGTCCATGGGTACAGTTTTGGACGTTGATTCCAATGGTGAAGTCTGTTTTTCGCCA